TGTGGCCGAATTCTCCCTTTGCATGCATAAATATCACATTGGCTTGGTTGATTGATGAATCTTGAGTTGAGTTTATAAGTTGATTGTCTCTAATGCAATTTGTTGCTCCCGCATCAGATGTGATATGATATCATTTGATCCCAGCACGTCATGAAATTTATTTATTTTTTTGGTCAGAACACGTCATGAAATTGAAAAGGTAATTTTCCCTAGTTTTTCCTCGGGTTTTTTTATCGTGGGTTGTTTCTCTTTGAAAGGAAAGTATCCCATTTACCAAAAAGAAAAAAGAAAGAACCATGTCAAATTGTAGATTTATTAATCAATCAAATAGTGACACGTTGATTTCTCTCTTGTGACATATAATCCCCAATAATTAGTTTCATTAGGCCATCTATACATTTGATATTTAAATATACTTTCTTAATTTCTACTAAAAAAAATAGTAATAATAATTTCTACTGTCACACCCTGAAACCTACCAAGATGGGGGATGACACGACCGTCCTTTCACCCGAAGGACGCAGTCTCGAACCACTCAAAAGTCCCCATGACATCGCTCTCGCTCTATTGCTGCTAAACAAAGAACCTGAAAGATTGGGGAAAGAGAGAGGTGAGCAACCACAGCTCAGTAAGCAGTGCGTATCTCTTCTAAGCAGATCAAGCAACTACTATGCATATATAAAGTAATACTGAAAAACTCATAATTTAAACCTATAATATCATATACATATCATATCAAATATGAGTTATTGCATTTCATCAAAGCTTTATACAAATTCAGAAAATACTCATTTAAATCATCATAAACATCAACGGTCAAGTCCATTGATCAATCTCTATTAAAAACCACGTCAATGGTCAATTCCATTGACTAATCTCAAATCACACATCAATGATCTATTCCATTAATGAATCTCATCAAAAGCACATGCCAATGGTCCATTCCATTGGCCAATCTCATTGAAAAAAACACACGCCAATGGTCAACTCCATTGGCCAATCTCATATCACATCACACGTCGATGGTCCATTCCATCGACCAATCTATTGCTCAATATCTAACCATGGTCACGACACAAAGCCTTGTGACAAGGCTACCAAGATTCCCCCCTTGGCAAGGTCTCCACCTACAAAGCCGGTGGCTCGGCTCAGAAGGATATCCTAACCCAGTATGCATACCCCCAAACCCCTCAATGGGCTCACAGCGATATTGAGCACAAAACACACATCCTCTAATAATCCACAATACCAAATCCATAATAAATCTCATAATCCACAATCAATATCACCAATTGATTTCAGAAAACAAAACATAATCTTTCTCAACTTCGTTCGTCAAACCGAACGCATTTTACAAGACATTTCTCACATCATTTCACAATTCTTCGTAAATCGATATGTATAACCTTTAACAAAAGAATTCTTTTCATAAAGAATTTCCTCAATTCATTTCACGATAATCGATATATAAGCCATTTCCAGAAATACTTTACCATACCATTTCAAATAATCAACAGGGTAGTAAATGCCCGATCCGAGCTTTTATGCAATAACAATGCTATTTAACTCATAACATATCTGATTCATATCGCTTTCAAAATATGAGTTTACAAATTCAAAGAAGAGATAGCACCACTCACCTGAGAATGCCCCATAACCAAACAACATGGCTAAACTCGCCGACGATCTCGTAATCCTATCAATTAAACGAGAATTGACGTCAACACCAAGTAAAACACCATTTTCACTAACGACTCGACTAAACCAAGCTTAGACGCTAACCAAAACGACTCAAATGTGCTCACAAATCGCTCCTCCAAAGCGATTATCCAAATCGTCCGCAACGCAAAACTTGAACACGAAACTTGATCGCGCCATAACTTTCCCCATCGAACTCTGATCTTAGCAAACTTATAATCAAAAGAAAGCCCGTTGTGAGTACTACAAAAGCCCCAGCTTGGCCGCCCCAATATCGAGCCAAAAACTGACGAAATATGGCCTAAATACTGCCGGATGTGTACTGTTCACTTCACGCGTATAACTTCAAAAATTCATTTCGGGCAAATGGTAAGTCCAAATCAAGATCCGTAAAATCCCACGCCTCCATGACACCTTAAACTATCAATTCTATATATATACGCAGCTCAACGACTCAAAAATTGGATTTCGCGGCTCGAATTTCCCAAAACTCCGAATTTAAACCCTAAATCGGAAAACTTCTCCGATCGGATGAACGAGGGGCGTGAGTGCTTACCGGGCATTGCGATACGAAGTCGAATCGGCTAGGCGAGGTTCGCGTGGCACCAAACCCTCTTCTTCTTCTTCTTCTTCTTCTTTTCCTTTCTCACTTTTCTGTTTCTGCCGAGGGAGCTCTCGGTTAAAAGAGAGAACCGAGCGTCCACTGTAGCCACTTTTTCTGCTTTTTGACTTGTTGACTTTTTTTTTTTTGAATACCCAAATATTACATCTACTAAATTAAAATTTATCAAAACTAAACCCCTATAATTGCAACCAAAAAGAGGAATATATGTGTTTCGCCGAGAGTGACCTCAAACGAAAGATCTTTCACCGAAGGGGAAGATCTTCAATTTTTTTTGAGTAACCGGGTCCTATGTCATTTCAGAAAGGAAGCGACGAATTATACGCTAATGGCGAACAAAAGTAAAAGGGCAAAAAGATAAATCATGCAATAAGAGATAAATTAACGATAGCAATTGAACAAAACGAGATTACAAAAGGTGTGCTTTTTTGCAGTCAATTTCGGCAAAAGGGTCTCCTCTTCATGATCTCTTGGAAGTTATTTATAACTAACGCTAAAGAATAACCGTTGTCGAACAGTTACTGTCTCAATTCCGGATTATTCAGTCTTCTTCGCGATAACCGTTCCTTTTATTCCGCGATATTATCAGCACCAGATGGGGTAACCGCTTTTATCTTTATCCCGATGTCCTGAATGGTTATCGATACCGAGTTCTCGGTATCCCACATATTGGGCCTTATGCAACTTCATTATCCAGTTTTTTTGGCCTGTTGTACTCCTTCTTTCTTCTAGCCCAATCAATCAAATTTGAGCGCCAACAATATGAATCATACAAAGCCATCTATGTACACCACGATTCAATTTATTTTCATGCTTGATGCAATATTTAGGGTTATATGAACTTGCTCGGAGAATGAATACTTGAGCTGCCATGTTATTTATTAGGATGATAAAGTTAGTGCATACCTGTAGTTCGAAAAAGTTCAATCATTTGGAATCTCGCCGAATAAATTTTAATATCCATGGAAATGGAATTAAGGGAAGTTGAAGCAAGTTATTCATGCATGTGATATTGATCACCTGGAAATAAAATAAAGGGTCTACATAGAATACGGCATCCATCCATCCACCAAAAACGATAAAAAAAAATGGAAAAGTAATCTTGGGAAAATTTATTTCAGTAACATTAATTAAAATTCTGCCAAAAAATTGATTTCAGTAACATTAATTAAAATTCTGCCAAAAAACTCTACTCTTCGACTTTGTACTTTCGGATTTTTTTAATCAAATCTCTAAACTTATAATTATCTAGCAAACTTTCTAATCAAATTCCTCCGACACCACATCCAGCCAAGGTGGTCGTCGGGGGATGTCCTAATGTGATGTGGATAAAACTTTCCCAACACAGACGTGCATGTAGGCGTCCTCATTGACGGGATTTTCTTGACATTATACTTCGATATTGTCGGTATTGGTTGGATTTGGTGTTGGAAGATGATAAAAGTGTAAAATTTGATTAGACAAATTAAAAAAATACTGACTTGATTACAAAAAGTTAGGGAAGAATATGGATGAAAAGTAGGAATTTTCTCGGATTTTATATTATGTTTTTGGAGTCTGGGACAAGTCAAGTCAAGCACTAGAGGAAAAGGCCAAAAGAAAAAATGAAAAATTTCCTCCCGACCAACTAAGCACTAGATGAACGTGCCTTGAACGACTGGCGTAATTGGTGCTCGATTACTGCTAGGTTTTCCCATCTTTAAAGGCAGGATTTGCAAATTCTGTTTTATAGCAGATGCGTACTTTGGACGCTCTATGCAACATTCCAAAGAACGGTTGTTGGAACCTCACATGTTTCTGACCAAGAAACCTGAGGAGATTGGTGCTGGAGCCAAGCTGACTGAAGTGAGGAAGAACGGGACATGCCCGCCAGCGGCTAAGACCTGATGGGAGGACCCAAGTGACGGTGTAATACCGTAACGACGGGGTGCCATGGTCCCTCTGAGGGTCCATACGGTCCTAATCTAAACTCAGCGTGATGAGACCGTTGCCACTGAGCAGATTGCGAAGGATTTGAAAGATCATGTGATCAGGCCCGTGATTCCACCTCATTATCTTTATCTTGACAACAAGACGACTTTCCACCGCGACAGGCGTTTGTGATCGGTTGGCCCCATGGTGATGAGGACCTCTCCGGGAGGGAGATAATTATCGACATTTATGGTGGTTGGGGTGGTCATGGTGGTGGTGTTTTTTCAGGAAAGGACCCGACCAAAGTTGACCATAGCTGCGCCTACATTGTTGGGAAAGCTGCGAAGGGCGCTGTAGCTTCTGGGCTCACTTGATTTTGCAGGTTTCTTATGCCATAGGCGCTCCCGAGCCGTTATCTCTGTTTGTAGACACTTGATTAAACTAGAAAGATTCCAGACAAGGATACTCTGGCTTTGACGAAGGAAAATTTTCATTTCAGGCCAGGAGTGATCTCTATCAATTTTGATTTGATGTGAGGATCAGAAAACAGTGGCAGATGGGCATTTCGGACGCGATGACCCAGATTTCACCTGGGAGACAGTGAAGCTTCTCAAACCTAGGAAAGCATAGAGCTTTGCCTTCCTCTGGTCACACCTTAATCCTGCATGATTTCTGATTTTGTGTTTATGTTCTATTCGTGGTACTTGGTAGCAGATTCTCAAATAGTTTTTCGCCTCTTCGGTGAGATTAATTCAAGACAAAAAAGAGGGAATCCTGAATTGTGTTTATGTTCTATTTGATTATGGTGTTTTCCCCATACAATCAACTATTCTTTTGAAGCTAGACGAGGCATGTCGTTCGCCACACTGAGAATCATGCATTCGAGTTATGCAGGGCTAACTTATCGGCATCTTAGGAACCAGAAGTTTCTGTCGATTTGATGAATTTTGAAATGTAACATACAAGTGTACCGTCCGTAAAGCTGTAGTATTGAACTATCTTAAAAATTAACTCTCTTCTATTGTTGCCTATCGTTTCTTTTTTCCTCAAACTTTTCTTGTATCCTGTACTTTGGGGATGTACATGGTTCATGTCCAACGTATATGAACAAGATATAAATGGCGGGTACTGTTGGCACTCTCCATTCATGAAGGAGCAATCTCGCTATCTGCACCAGCCATGGCAACTTTGCCTGCCATCCAGCTCTTTAGCATCTGTAGTGCAGCTTTCGGCTGATCCATCGGAACCATGTGCCCCGCATTATGAACCTGCATTTCATCACACGACCAGAATTGAAATTATAATTTGCCTGTCTCATCTTTGAAGTATGTTGGGTGTGAGTGCGCTCGCACATTGCAAGTTTGCGTGTGTGCTTCTGTTAGAGAGAGAGAGAGAGAGAGAGAGAGAGAGAGAGACCTTCAAGAAAGTAAGTGGTCCATGGCTTTTCATCAATCCTGACTCGGCACCATCGACGACAAATGGAACAGTAGTAGATGCTCCAAACTGCTTTTGACCAGACCACTCCATGGCATGAACCCAGTTGGAGTTCCCTGATCAATTTAACATCAGGAAACACGTCATACACCAGGTAATGTTCTGTTTGATTCTGTCTAGTGTTTACCAACTTGAAAGATCGGGGTTGTTCTTACCAAGCCAATTACAGATGAGATCGTATTCACCGGCATAAATGAGCACCTTCAGCCCGTCCTCAAGAAGCGCAGGGATACCCGCTTCAAGATTCTTCATCCAATCCGTGAGCATGGCATCATACACAGTACTGCTGCACGACACGAACTCTATATTTCCGACCCCTAAAGCATCTCTCACAGTCTTTTGGTTCAGGAATGTCTCCAAGTTTGAGAAGTCGTAGCACAGGTCTCCCTCACAGCTCTTTCGAATATCATAGTACTGCAGGCCAATTGTCAACATGTCAAATTTAAGGTAATCGAACGTTATATTTGGAAAAAAATAGTCTGTCATCGTCCTACATTGATGTACCCGGCAATGTCCATGATCTTATTGAAAATACTGGTGCAATCTACATATGAAGTCACACAAGCATTTCCACCGTCGGTAACTGCACTTTATATGCAAGTTTTAATAGTTAAATCTCTGCTTTTAGAGAGAGAAAAGAGAGAGCTTCTCCGATGTTTATATGAAGCATAAACAGAGATTTAGGACCCAAAAAGATACCACACTGCTTAATCGCCCGTTTGCATTCTGGGAGCATTGTGTTTATGCTGTCGTGATCGGCCTGTGTGATTAACCTCATGTTTAGAGCATAATCTGTGTATGCTTCATACTGGATCTCAGGATCGGTTAGGCCATTGCCAATTGCAAACCCCTGTTCGAGATTCAGAAGTTTAACAATGCCAAAGGAAAGAATAAGTGAATATTGTCATAGCAAAGAATTACCATACAAACATGAATTACCTTCAGGTTTATGAGAATTCCTTCCTTTGCCTTGTTCCCTTGGTGAACACGAGCAGCAAAAGCTGGAATGTAGTGCCCAGCATACGATTCTCCAGTTATGTAAAAATCATTCTTGACAAGTTGAGGATGCGCTGCAAAGAATGCCTGACCATCGTTGTGAAAGATTAGTCTATCATACGCTTGATTTCTTATCTTGAAAAGTACCGAACTGAAAATTGGCTTTACAAAAGTAAACAATTTTGTGTAACCAGGCACTCAGGTTATGATCGATGAGTACGTGTATACCTGCAAGAAGTCGTACAAGTCATTGCTGACACCCTGCTCGTCATGCCGAACATCGTGCTCATCAGAAGAGTAACTAAAACCGGTCCCAGTAGGCTGGTCGACGAAGATGAGATTCGACGCCTGTGGGGGAAAAAACATTACAAATGCATCAAATGTAACTCTTGCAATTATCACACGCAACAATTAGTTTGACAAAACAAGCTTGGAAATTTGTTTGCTATCTGGCTATCCAAGGCGATAGCGGCAGAAGGAATTGGCAATTGCTTTCAAGAAAGAAGACTTGAACCAACTCGACCAACATCATATGTAACTATGTCAAGAAACAAAACAACAGAAGAGAGTTGGAGGACGACTCGGCGAACACACTAACGTCAAACTATTAAAAAAGATAACAGAACAAAGAGGAAAATCTAAACAATGATGCAACGTTCTTTGGAGTATCAATTATGATTAATAACGCTATGATCTGTGACTCACTCACCTTGTCCCAACCGTAATCATTCCACACAAGAGACAAGTTGTTGGCAATATGGAAAGGGCCATTCTCATAGAACAGTGCCAATTCACCGCTACAACCAGGCCCTCCGGTTAACCATATCACCACCGGATCATTTGCGCTGCTCCGCGATTCGAAGAAGAAGTAGAACATCCTGAAAAATCAGACAAAAAACAGGACGAAGAATTATAACCAGAACTTGATGAATTGTAAGGTGCCGCATCTCGTTTGGCTCACGTGAATCGAAGAAACAGAATAAGAAATAAATTTTCTTGGTGGTTTTCCTGACCGAATTCTGTTAACTTCTCATTTTTTGAGGTTTAATGGATAACCCCATTAATTTCCTATCATCTAGGCCTATCAAAATAAGTATAACATGTGAATCTAAATGCTCCTAGAACATCATAATTAAGTACTAGATATAGGAAAATGGTACTCTGCATCAAGAACATCAATAATTGGCTATCCTAGTTAATCCCAAGGCCTCACCTTGCTGCATGGGAGTGCGGAAGCCGGTAATACCCGGCATGGTGACCCAGGTCCTGAATGGATGACCCGGACTCGCCGAGAAGCGGGAGCTCAAAGCGCCTCTCGACTATCTTCCCACCGGAATTCAAAGAAGAAGAATCGACATCACCAGCTTCAATATTAACAGTTTCTTTGGGGAACAAGTTGAACCCTCTAATGAGCTTCTCCGCTTGTGTCCTCGGTGATATGTTGGCAGTCAAAGAAGATGCTTTTGATGGTGATGCAGTTGAGAAGGATGGATGGGAGAAGAAAAGGAGGAGAGAGAAGAGAAAGCTGTGCTTTGAGAGAAAAGTCGATGCCATTGTTGAGATTTTTTCTGAGAGAAGACTTTGAAGTTTGAGGAGGAGGATGATGGTTGGCGATGAGGATGATTGGTGATGACCAATCGTGGGGCTTTTATAGTGTCTGATGTCAAGGACGTGCTTGATAAGGCTCCCGGAAAATGTGGCTTACAGAGACAGAGAGGGACAGAGAGAGAGGTATATTTGTCTGCTTCTTATTGTCAGTTGGTATGTCTTTTTTTGCGTCTTTGTTCCTTGTTTTGTTGCTTTATTGCAACAGATTGAACTGAGACAGAGGTGGTGGTTATGTCTTTTTTGAAATGAATTGTGTTTGCACGAAAAGGAATTGCGTAAAGATCAGTGGGAATAGACGATGAATGACGACGGTTCACATCTTGCTGCTGCATAAAGTAAGTGGTATGATATCAATATGATCCCTGCTCATCATGAAATTGAAAAAGGCAATTTTCCTTTCGTTTTTGCTCGGTTCTTTTGTATGGATTGTCTCTCTATAAGAGGAAAGCATCCAATTTACCAACCCCCAAAAAAAAAATAGTTCCATGTTTATTAAATACAAAGAGACATGTTGTTTTCTCTTTTGTAACATATAATACGGAGAAATTGTCCGATCAAACCATTCAATGCACATTTCATCGGGTCATTTATACATACGCTTTTGAGATACTTTCTCATTTTTAACCAAAATTATTTTTTATGGGGCCGTCTAGGTAAAGCACGATTCAATGAATTTTCATGTTAGATGCAATCTTTAGGGTCACATGAACATGCTCGGAATATGAATACTTGAGTGGCCATGTTATTAATTAGCGTGATTCTAGGATCATAAACTTAGTGCATGCATGTAGTTGGAAAAAGTTCAATCATTCGGAATCTCGCTAAATAAGTATTAATATCCATTGAAATGGAATTAAGAGCAGTTGAATCAGGTTATTCATGCACGTGGTCTTGCTTACGTGGAAGTGAGAAAGGGTCTCTGTAGAACACAGCATTCACTCACCAAAAACGAGGAGAAAGAAAAAGGAATCTTGGGGACAATTGATTTTTAGTATCATAAATTAAAATTATGACGAAAAGAACTCTAATTTATGTTTTTACACTATCACGTTTTTCCTAATCGATTCTTTGAACTTTTAGTTTAGCTAATCAAGTCATTTTTTTTAAAATTATCTAATCAAATCCCTCCTACATCAAATCCAACTTACGTGATTGTCGAATGAAGCCATAGGATAACGCGGACAAATTCTTTTCAAACTTGAACATCCATGTGGACGTCCATAGCAGCTAAATTTAACCTCCACGTCCATGTGGGGATCCCTATCCGCATGACATTTTAGCGTTGCCTGACGATCGCGTCAGTTGAATTTGATCAAACTTTATATTAAATGGACTTAATCAGAAAGTTCGTGATAATAGAATGATTCGATTAAACAAATTAAAAATATAGAAGCTTGATTAGAAAAAGTGTAAAAGTATAAGGACTAAAAAAAAATTTCCCCAAATTATTATGTTTTTTGAGTATGGACAAGTCAAGCACTTCCGTAGGACTACCAAAAGAGTAAAAATAGGGAGGAACAAAAGGAAAAAGGAAAAAAAAACGAAAGAAAGAAAGAAGAAATTTCCTCCCGACCAACTCACAACTAGAAAACGTAGTGGATGAACATTTCTTGAACGATGGGCATCATCGGTGCTCGATTGCTTCTAATTTTTCCCATCTTTAAAGCCAGGATCTTCGACTTTTTAACAAATGCATACTTGTACACACTACGCAAAACCTTCTTTTTTCGGGAGAATTTAATACTATACTATATCCATATTTTACGAGATTAATTAATTATAACGAGATATCGTTCGGTGATAGATGAAATGTAGCTAGAAAATGGTGAAGAGAGAGTAAGCCCCGTGATTTTTCATACATTATAAACGTTCGCGTAATTCTCCGTCATGATTGCACAAGTTTTAAATTTATTTGTTTACATAATTCGTATATATTGGAGACAATTTTTGTTCTCTTACTTGAGGAAATATATGGATCCCGATTTTTAAAATAATTATTTTTATACGTTATGTTGCTGTTGTAAATGGGCTGAGTAATCGCCAAGGAAGTCAGTGTACTTTTGGCACTTCGTGGATCGATGTGGAATGCTAAACATTCTAAGACTTGCTTTAAAAAAAAAAAAGCAAAAAGGATAAAAAAGAAAAGGGTAAAAAAAATTATAATTTTCAATTTAAAGTACAGAACGAAGGTCCCGAATTTGTAGGCGCATTATTAGGTTGATCCTTGAAAGTTAATTATTGCTCTTGATCCATCCATAAGAAGTGCTTTTTATAAGAAAACATCGTCACATGCAGATGATAAGAAAGCGTCCAAAGAAGAACCCTCACAAGGGAGATACGCAGTTTTAATTAATTGCAAAGAGTGTGACCAAATAAAATTTTTAATTGCGAAGAGGGCATTAAAGATATAAATTCATTAAGTAAGTTCATATAAAAAAAGGAAAAATGATACAAATGGTACTTGAATTTTGACTTAATGTGTAATGTGGTCCCTGAACTTTTAATTTGTTCAATATGATCACAAACTATAGCCTAATATACAATGTAATTGCTAAATTTTTAATTTGTTCAATGTGGTCCATAAACTTTTGATACATTTCAACTTAGTCCCTAAACAATATGTTTCATATAATACAGGGACTAAGTTGAACATGCATCAAAAATTTAGTGACCACATTAAAATAAATTAAAAGTTCATGGACCACATTGCACATTGGGTCAAAGTTCAGGAACCATTTTTATCATTATCCAAAAAAAAAAAACATATTATAATAGCTTTTTTTATGACAAAGAAGTCTACCTAATTTAGATAGGAAAAAAATGTTTAGTGGATTTATTTGTCAATACTACTAGTTATTATATGTCGCGCATTAGTAGTCTATATGTTTAAATTGAAAGTATCTTTTGGCTCACTTTTATTTCGCATTTAACCTTTGCAAACTCGTTTTTGTAAACGTAAAGCAAAGAGGAAAAAAATGTAAAGTTGATGATAAAGAATAACAAAAAGTTAAAATAAAGATATTAACCACCCACTTTTTTTGTAAAGAAAGTGCACTTCATAAAGTTACTTAATTGTCCTCATAATGCAATAATCAATCTCATCCATGCACTCTATGTGAAAAATTTAGAATGCTTCTCTCAATTTGTTTTAAATTTTGTTTGTTTACATTTATTGAACAAATAGGAAAATGTCCATTCAACGATTTATTTCTAGATTAGGATTACAAAAAAAATTAATGTCAAGTGTTTTATTTCTCCTGAAATTAAATTTATAATATTTTAATAGCTTATAATGTTGCACAATGAATGAAAATTAATTACGCATATTTTTTCATCCCTCGCCTTTAGTGGGCGGTTATCATTAAAGACATTATATTCGCATACAAACTTAATTAGATATGGATGTGAGTGATGTTCGTTATAACCCACCAATCAGTTATTGCAAGAAATTTCTTCAATTATAAATGAAGAAAAATATAGTCCTATAATATTTTTATAGCATCAATTTTGAGTACATTACCACATAAAAAATATAATATCATATATCTATCATTATCCATGAAAGATTTTAATCGGTAGGGTTTGTTCGTCCTTACATATTTTAGGAAAAAATAGCTTTTCCTTTCCTCTAAATTTTGAACACAGGAAATAATCTTCTAAAATTCAAAAGACTGAAAAATTCTAGATGACTTTACATGTCAATATATCTACCTTTCAAAATATTGCACATACTAAAGATCAAAGGAAAGTCAAGTTCCAAATCAGGCAAGAAAAAGAGAAAAGAAATATAAAAAAAATGACTCCAAATGGTATAATCATGGAAAATTCATCCAGTTTAGTGGTAGCTAAACTAACGAAGAATTTGTGGATGCAAAGAATGATTTTGCTTGCAAGACACTCAAATGCTTAATGACTAAAGTCTAAACGGATAAAATATGTGGTTGTCTTTGTCACTAGAGTAGCAAAAAACAGTTCTTTATAGATGTAAAAGGAAAAAGATGCGATTCGAATCGACTAAATGACTCGAAAAGGTTTGATTTTACTCTACGCGTCAAAGTGGTGGGACTTGAAAGTCTTAGGAGACCTTCCAAATTAACTCTTCATCCCACTAAACTAAAGCCATGTAGTTCAGAATCTCCTAGGATCAGATGTCAAAAGGTCAGTTGTGACCAAATTTAGGGTCCATGAAAAATATTTTCCAAAAAGTTATTTTTTAGGAAAATGGTAATATTTTTCAGCGTTTGGTTGAAAACTAAAAAATAATCAAAAAATATTTTCCGTCGTTCAGCAAGGAAAATCTGATTTGATTTTTTTTAAATACACATACATTATTCGGGCACTAAAAACTTGCGCACGAGTAACCGGGGAACTAGACACGAGCACCAGGATCCCAGGTCCAGTCTCGATGGACCCCATCCCAAGCATTGGGGACCCGGACACTGGCACTTGGGTCTCAAGCAAGAGCACAAGCACCGATCCCATGTCCACAGAGGCCGTGCCCGAGGCCCCGGTGCCTATGCTTGGATCCATGGTACCCAAGCCCTAATCTACAAAAGCCAAGCGCAGGACCCCGATGCCTAGGCCTGAGCTCGAGTGCACAAAGGCCGAGCTGGGGACCTAGCAGTCGAACTCAAGTCCCCGACACTCAAGCCCTGGTCCATCAAGGCTAGTTCCCATGCCTAGGTCATCGGTGCTTGTGCTCGGGGCCCTGATGCCCAACCTTAAGACCCTAGTATGTGTGCCTGAATCCTCGGTGCTCAGGCATGAGCACCGGGGTCCCGAGTCGCGACCTCGATAAACCGAGACTCAGGCGCAATGAATCGAGGCATGGGCATGGGGGTCTCGAGCCCAACCTTGGTGGATCCTGCCCTAGGAGTCAGGGACCCGGGCATGGGCACCAAGGTCCCGAACCCCTGCCTCAATGGACCTAGGCTCGGGCGCACGGGATTTGAGCCCGGCCTCAGTGGATCTGGCTTGGGCGTCAAGGACCCAAGCATGAGCACCAGGGTCTCGAGCCTCAACCTCGATG